TGATATGACTCCCGGCCTAGTTCCTCCCTAAGACCCCGATTAGACACTTTTTTTTTCCTTTTTTATAAAGTTCATCTAGTATTTTTTTGGTTCCTCTAAATCCCACTCCATAAATCTCTATTTTAATTTATTTATTTTTAAGTATTTTCTAGATCACTGACTCGGCCTAATCCAGATTGATCCAAATCACCAATCCAATGTTCCAATGCAAGTCTATAAGGTGAATGATCCAACTCACTGATTTGGATTTTGAGATACTGCTTCGAATCGTTGAGATTATTGCTCGACTTATGCCTGGAAAAATAGAATAGAATTTTCCTTCTATTCACGGCCCCTCGAAAGGATGCCCCTATAGTCTCAGTCTTAACACGTGTGAACAAGACATTATTAAAAGGAAAATGACAAGACATTATTATGTTGCTGGTGCACATCAAAAATTCAATAGAAAAAAGCATTTCAAAGTTGAAAAACTTTCTAGTCGAGCGTCTCAATATTGAGATGTATGAATATAAATAAATAAAAAATTTCAAGCTTAAAAAAATCATGTATCTTGTAACAAGTTATCTAGACCGCCTATTTTCAAGATTTTCAAGTGTTTATAGATGTGTCTGATCTATACCAATTTTTAAAACTTTCAATTTTGTAACTATGGTCTAATACAAAATTTCAAGCCATCGTAAAAAATTTTACACTAAAACATTAGATTGCAATCTTATATTATTGAAGGAAGGTGCACCTCGAATATTCAATACAAAAAAGTATTTTGAAGATGGAAAACCTTTCAATTGATCATCTCGACCTCTCATATATTTCAAATGTTTCATCTGAATTTGCGATCTGAAATGAAAATCGCCATATTTTAAAACATTGGTACAAACTAAATAGTATGCAACTACCGCCTCTGTCAAAGCTATCCGGAATTTAAGAAAAACAAAATTGTTTCATGTGGGCTGCAGAGTATGACTACATATATGGTCCAAAAAGTGCAAAGCATCCATCTTAAAGATGGATGCAAGTAGTTAGTCCATCTAAAAACAATGGAAACTAACGGTTCAAATGTTTTCTTACTATAATATTATCATTTCTAACTTTTAAAATTTACTTATTTGTTCATATTTATGATCTTCATGTTAGAGATTACATGTCCTTAAAAATTAAGTCCAAAAATCCATCTTTGAAATAGATTTATTAATAGGCCATCATTTCTACATATGTGGGCTTGGCCACATAGAAACCAGGCCCTTAAGAAAAAGTGCATGCATCTATACACTAGTGTATCGACATTATATACTTGATGGTGATTAACCAATATGGTTCAGACCAGTGGTGTATTATGCACATTCCCTAAATTTTTATACCAAGACCTAACATTTAGCATATTTTGAACATTTTACACGGGAAATATGTCATTTTCAACGAATGTTGGGTAGCCTATTTTGTATGTATAACGTACAATACACACTTCTGTAGCATACAACATTCTCTGTTAAACCAAACTTTATATCTTGGAATAGTTAGTCTATAAGCAATTTGTTGGACTGGTCCGGTCCACATAGAAGATGAATATTATAGATATGTTTGGGGCCACTGTAAACAAGTATAGGGCTTGAAAGAGTGGCCTATGGGTATAATGGCTTTAGGTGTATAATTAAATGACTTTTAAGATCATCTTCACCTTCTGTTTGATCCAAGGTTTAAAACCACGGTTCGGTGACCAGAACCGCCCCACTGAAAAACCAGTCTAGATCGGCAAATAAAAAATTAGGGGGAAATTTTTTTTAAAACTTTTAAAATAAAGTAGGACTAATTCTTTAATAAAACTGGCTGGTCTTGTCAGAATACTGATTGGTTCGTAATATTTAGACAGAACCAGACTGGCCCCAACAATTCCTGATTCAAACAGGCTTATTCGGATCCAGTTCGCACCTTGGTTTATCTATTTCACAAATGAGATTGTTCCTCCTCTTATATGTACCCTATTGCAAGTTGAGAAAGATAACAACATCGTTTTAAAGAGAAGATCGAATCACCTTATCGCTCATGCTCAATTCGAACCGGAACTGGTGGGGTACCTGTCCGAGTTAATAAACTCCTAGACTCTCCCGTTTTCCATCTGTTTTATTTTTTAGTTATTTTTGTTCAGTTTTTATGGAATTTTTTCTTTAGTGATCTAGAATTGAGCTCTCCGATTCACCAATCCATATCAGTTTGACAATTGAACTTGACTTTTATAAAAATTGGATAAATAATTCGTCCTTTATCCATTATACAATCTGCTATTGTTGAATTGCATGTGGGCTGCATTTTCCCTCAACCAACCCTATCAGGTGCATTTGTGTGTGCTAAAATAAGTTTCAAAGGATTTTATTATTATTCAGTGCTTACCTTTGGTACAAGGTGATCACAATTAATGTTGGCCATTGGATGGAAAATTAAGTCGTTGTATTTATTTCATTGACCAAGCTCAAAGATCGAATGAAATTTTTTCGAACTTCATGACTCACCCAACCTATTAGATTTCACATCAGATGATTATAAGTAATTATGACATGTATGTAGCAAAAGTAATTGGTCTCATTGTATATAATCCCTTCTGATTTTTATAAATATGATAGATCTCAAATTATGAGGACATATACGGTTGGCCTAAAGACACAAAATTTAAAAGTAATATGCCAAAAGGAATGAAACAAAATACTCCAATGGCATTTTATCAAAATCACAAATCAAACAAATAGGGGTGGTAGCTGGGTTTAGTCGACCAGGTTTGGGTGGAGTTAATCCGACTGGGTTTCAGGTTCGGACACGCATATTGTACACATACATATTGTACCCACAAATCCGGGTTTATTAGATAGCTTGTTGGGTCGGGTTGGGTTGGTCCCCGAATTGACTCGACCAGTATAGATATTTATATATTCAATATATAGATAACTATGCCCGGGTAAAGGAGGAGAAGACTTTAAGTTTTCCCTTAACCCGTCCTAAGCCCGGGTAAATGAAATAGGTCGTGTTAGATAGACAGTCAACGTAAAACTTTACCAAAACCTTTCATGAATCTTGAATCTATAATAATGTGGTGTATGTTGTTCGCAGACAACATAGTTTGATCAATGAGACCTGAAACAACATCGGCATAAAGTTAAAACTTTGGAGGGATACTCTAGAATATAAAGATTTTAAAATTAGCTGAATCCGACTTCGGTCAAGATTGGGTCCAAGTCAAATTAAGACCCTGTAGGCTCCAATTTGGGTCAAGTTCACTTGATCCCAACCCAACCCAACCCACTTGTTTACACCAGGTGATTTGGCCACAGGAGTAATCGAAAGTCTACTCATACAGAAGCACGCTAATCACTTCTAAGAGTATATAAAGTATGGATATCACATATGGGAATACACGAAAAAATCCCTAAACTTATTAAAAAGGGGAAGTTTATATTGAGACAATTTACCTTTACAACAAGGTAGTTACAATTAATCTTGACCATTAGATGTGAAATTAGGTGGCTACATTTATTTCATTGACCAAGCTCAAAGTTTAATTATTTTTTTTTGAACTTTGTGATACACCCAAACTATCAGATTTTATATCAAAAGGTTGTAAATAATTGTGACCTCCCTATACCAATGATAAATTAATGGACTTTGTTGTCTTCAATTTACCAACAAATTGGTACCGATGAAAATAATCACTTTTATGACTTCACTCTTTTAACTGATTAGCAATGGAAGATGATTGTAGTAATCTGAAAGTGGGACATGGATATTGTGTTATTTTGGCCATTTATTTTAAAAGATTGGTGTAACAATGACGTATCATTGTACACAATTGGTAATCAATATTAAAACAAGGTCATTTGGGGCTAAACGTATATATAGAAGGCCAGACTTTGACTCAAGATTAAATGTTATTTTATTAAATTCATATTGTAAAAAATAAATTAAATTAAAATTTCAATAAGTCTCGGTCCAGACCGGCTTTAATCTTTGACTAGAGGTGGGTTCTTGCTTTTAGCCATAAAATACCCTACCTTTACCCTGATCATGCTTTGACCTTTCCCTACAACCCTAATTTTGTTTCACGTACATATGATTTTTCCAAGGGCTTGACACTTAAAAGATGGAAAAAGTTTATATAAGGTTGCAAGGATGGAACCTTATAATGTGGAACTACAGATGCACCTCAAAAATCTATCCGAAAAGGTAGTTTTAATGTTGAAAAACCCTTTGATTGATCATCTCAACATCGAGATGTATGACTATGAAGAATAAAAAAGATTTTAAGTCTCAGAAATAGTGCATTTAAAAGCGGATCGATGACCCGGATCGAGCACCCCAAAAACAGGTTTGGATAAGTGAATTGATGGTCCATATCCTTGTTTTACTGTGCGGAAAAAATAGTGAACGGGCAAAAAAAAACACACGAAAAAATATGAACCGGCCAAAAACCGATCCGGATCGGTGAATCGGTGGTTCGAATTGCCGTTTTCCTGTGCAAAACCGACGGTTCACTTACAGATTATGTTGTTTTTCTATAGGGTGCGGTTTGTATAGAGCCTAGGCTCTAAATAATCAAAATAGAGCCTACCTTCAAATAGTGTCGAGAAATGTGAGCTCAATACTGGAAATCTTTGTGATAGCCCGAAAATATATTTTTATCTTTATTTATAAAGTTTAATGCTTAAAAAATAGTGTAGATCGACAAATCTATAAAAACTTGAAAATCTTGAAAATTGACGGTCCAAAAATGTGTTACAAAATATACTATTTTCAAAACTTGAAATCCATTTATTATCATGTCCATGCATCTTGATGTCGAGATGATCAATTTGAGGATAATTGGGCATCAAAACAACGTCTTCTAATTAAATTTTTGATGTAGACTCTAATTTGATTATTTAGAGCCTCGGATCCATATAAACTTTTCTCTTTTCCATATATCCACTGGACCGAAATAGGGCGATCTGGATTAAATTATCAAGAAACTGACAATTTTTACAGTCCCCATGAAAAGATAGATCACAGACATAAGTCTTAAGGAGATCAAGGAAACAAATGTAGTAAGAAAAAAGATCTGGGAAGAATATACACTTTCATATAAAACAAGAAAAGTTGTAGATATAATAAGGGAGGGCCTTTGACTTATTGAGTTATTTGTCACTAAATCCCTTCCATTTAATCCCCTCTACTCATTGCATCTTGCACATCTGCTCTTAGTTTCCTGTATTTCTCACATTTTCCATTTTTGCAGAGGGAGAACAAATCAAAGATTGCAACTCAAAACAAAAAAAGAGAACAAATCAGCGATAAAGGATGTACGGGATCTCAACTTTCTGGTACAGGACATTGAAGCGTTACTGGCTTAGGAGGGGCTATAAGCCTCTAAACTCGGCAATTAAGGAGAGCAGCAATGGCGGAAAACGCATAGAATCAACGACTTTAGGGGGGAAATATCGGCAAGGTTGGAAGGTGGGTTCGATTCCTCGGCTTCAGCTGAATATGAAGAGCTGTTACTCTCCAAAGAGGGCATTGGTTAGAGCGAGAGATGCTTATGTGAATGCCATGGTGGGTGCAGCGAGTTCGAGTGCATATTTGAGTGAAAGAGGAGGTGGGTTCTGCAGAAAAGAGGTTCAAAGAGATCAGAGGTTCAAGTTTATTGCTGATGTTGAGAAGAAAGTGTTGTTTGAGTTATACAGTCGATCACTGAGGAGGAGAGAGGAAGATATGGTTTGATTTATTAGAGAAAGAGAAGCTTTGAAGGTTTAAAGACATGGATTTCCTGGATGATTAGGTCCGTGTACTCTCCAACTCCCTCTCTCTTGTTAGAGTCTAGACTCTGGACTCTCTGCATATGTCTTTCTGTGTATCCGGTCTCTCTCGCACCTGTTATCGGTGTAAAACAGTAAAACTTCAACATTGCAATGGAAAATGGTTGGATAGGGCTGCAACCTATCAAAATACAGCCTCACCGCATGATTCACCAAAAATTGTAAATTGAAATTTTTTTACATAGATCATTTCGACTTTAACATTATGGTTGTGAAGAAAAATTAGGATATCAAACACTAAAAGTAGTATATATTGTCACAAATTATCTAAACCGTTCATTTCGCCCTAAAAATAAGTGTTCATAGATCCACAAGATGTGTACATTCTTTTACTTCCAAATTTTATTGTTGTTGTTGGGAATTGATTTTAGAGCCATAGTGGAGATTTCTGTTGTCGAGGATTTGAGGTGAGGCTTTATTTTGTTTTATTAAAACCAAGGCTTTATGGAAACTTCATCCAATTACATTTGACCATTGATTATTTCAAGTGTTCATGAATGTAATTTTGATTAAACTTTCCTCATAGGTTCCTAGGCTTGGGCTTGGTTGGATAGCAATACTGCATTTTAGGTTCAATTCCTATGGGGAACTACCAAATATAATAAATAAAATTGGAAAATATTTTTATCGAGCTGCCACTCTATCAAAATAAGTTAAGTCTTACCTCAAAACTTGCCAAGAATTGCGGTTCTAGCATCATAAAAACCATTCGATCAATTATCTCGGCCTTGACCACGATAATTGAGAAAAAAATAATGATTTCAAGCTCCAAAAATAGTTTATATTGTAGGAATTATCTAAACCATCCATTTTGCCTTAAAAATAAATGTTCTCGGATCCGTAAGATATGAACCCTTTTTTAGCTTTAAATTTCATACTCAGTGTTGAAAACTTAGTTTAGAGCTATCACGGAGATTTTCGATAGCCAAAGTGCCTTCCGAATGAGAATTTCAGATGAGGTTTTACTTCGTTTTCATAAAGCCTAGGTGCATCCATTAAACTTTGCTTCTTTTTTCAAGTCCTCACGTTAATATTTTCTGTAAATTGGTATTGCTTGGCTGGTCTTACTCTCTCTCTTTTAATCTATAGAATGAACAGTGATGACCCTCACGATCACTTATATGTATAGATGTGATTAGATTTGGAATCTTGATAACGTGATAACCATGTTTTGAACGTGGCAAATACT